AATTAATGGGGTCTCTCCTCCCCCCCAGATTTTGGTAGACACACGGGCCCTGCAGAAGGAGATCAATGCGCTGGTGGGGAAACTGGAGCGGACGTTCAGCGTCACTGATGAGCTGCTCTTCAAGGTTTGGGGCTTTTGGGGGGTCCTGAAATGGTTTTGGGGGGTCCTGAAAGGGTTGTGGGGGTTGTGGTGAGGGAGTATGGGGAGCTCTGGAGAATGTGAGGGGGGTCTTGAGGGGACTAAACTCTGCTCAGGGACAATTGGGGTGTCGCAGAGTCCTAAATCCTATAAGGAAGGAGATCCCAGAGCCCCCCGACCTATGGGGAATCCCCAAACCCACCCAAATTTGAACCAGGGATCCCAAAACTCAGCCCAAAAGAGACCCCAGAGCCCCTGGGACCCCGAAAAATGACCAGGTAGGAGATGTAGGGTCCCCAAAATTCACCCCAAAGTCCCCCAAAGCCACCATGGAAAAGCAGGGGACCCCAAAACCATCGGAATGGGCCCAGGGACCCCAAAATCCACTCCAAAAGGAACCGCAAAGCCCCCAAAACCCAATGCAGAGAGACCAAAGACCCCAAACCCATCGAAATGGTACCTGGGGCCCTAAAACTCAGCCCAAAGGGGACCCCCAGACCTACCATGGAGGGACCCAGGGACCCCCAGAACCCCCCAAAATGGGACCCAGGGACCCCAAAAACCATTGGAATGTGACTTGGGGACCCCCCTCCAAATTGTGTCCCATCCCCAGGATGCCAAGAGGGATGAGGTGGTGAGGAAGGCCTACAAGTACCTGGCAGCACTGCATGAGGTAATGGGAGGGGGGGGATCCACTTTTTTTTGGGGGGGTGGGAGGGAAGAGCTGGATTTTGGGGTGCTCAGTGTTTAATGACATGGAAGTGTGGAGATATGGAGTTTGGGGGGCATTGGGTGGAATGGGGAGGGGTCTGGATGGAAGTGAGAGGGTCCTGGGGGTGGTTAGGGAAGGATGAAGATATGGGGGGGCTGTTCAGCCCAATATTTGTGTTGTCCCGTCCCCCCCCCCAGAACTGTGCCCAGCTCATCCAGACCATTGAGGACACCGGGACCATCCAGAGGGAGATCCGGGACCTGGAGGAGCAGGTGGGGGTCTGGGAAAATGGGGGGAGGGACAGACTGAATTGGGGTGTGGGGGAGGAGGGGGGGAAAATTTGGGAGACCCCCCCCAAAGTGCTTTTGGGTCTTTTCCACTGCATTTTTGTACACCCCTTTTTCTGTCTCCCACCCCAAATCTTTGTCTTTTGCGTCTCACCAAATCTCGCTCCGTGTCCCCAAACTCTTTGGGGCTTCTCCCCCTCAATTCTGTGCCCCCTCCTCCCTCAATTTCATGGGACCCCCCTCCTTCCATCCCTTCCCCCCCCTCATTTTTTATACCCCCTTCCCCTTAAGATCGAGGGGGAGATGAGCTCCAAGCCCCCCGCCAGCCTCGATCGCATCCTCAGCGACTGCCGGGCACTGCGGGAGGAGAACGCCCTGCTGGCAGCCCGAATCCGGAATGCCTGAACCCCAAAACCCCAAATTATAACATGGCCTTGAGGAAGGGGGGGGGGTCCTGAACCCCCCCTCCCCTCTGAGAGCCCCCCCAGAATGTGGGCACCCCCTAAAAATGAACCCATGTCTGACGATGGAGCGTTTTTACGGTGTTAATAAAATCTTCTGCAGGGCGGTTGGGGGTTTTGTGTTCTAATTGGGGGTGGGGGGAGAGGGAAGGGGGGGACCCCCCCCAATGCTGTGGAGTTGGGGATAACCTCTGCCCCCTCCCCGACAGCCCCCCCTCCCCCCACTTTGTGGTTTTGGGGTCCTCTCAGCTCCGTGGGGGCAGGAAGCACTTGAGGTCGCAGTCCCTGTGGGTGAATGGTGGGGTTTGAGG